TTGTTATGTTACTGTAAAAGGTTTCTATCCATCTTGTAAGACTGGATCCAAATCCAAAGACTTCTAAGCATTTGAACATAAAATTCCACTCCAGACTATCAAAAGCTTTCTCAAAATCTATAAAAAGTAGCAATCCAGGGATTTCATAAGTTTTCGTGTAATCCATTATATCTAGAATTGATCTTGCGGCTTCCCCTATGTAGCGACCTGAAACGTACCCAGTTTGATTGCTATGAATGATTTCGGGTAAAACTTTGACAATACGGGTCGCTATAACTTTGGACGCAATTTTGGCGTCGACGTTAGTCAAGGATATTGGCCTCCAATTTTCTAAGTAAGTCCTATCCTTGTCCTGTTTCTCAATAAGAGTAATCACTGCCTGTCTCTGAGATGGGGACATTTCCTTCTTCATAAAAGCTTCATTAAATGAATTAATCAAAGTATCACTAAGTAATGGCCAAAAGGTGTTATAAAATTCAATGGGTAACCCGTCGTTGCCTGGCGTTTTTGCAGTTGGAAAAGTTTTGAGAACGTTCTGGCAGTCTTCCGCAGTTATTCTACCCTCACATATTATTCTTGAATCATGTGAAATACTGGGTAAATTTGGACTATCGAAAAAAATCGATGATTCTGCATTATCTAAGTTAATATTTCTACTACGATATAAGTTCTTATAAAATTTGCGTTGTGAATCCATAATCATAAAGGGGTCAGTAGAAATTACACCGCTAATGTGCAGCTTTCTTACATGCTTTTTAACATGGTTGCGTTTCTCGAGATTTAAAAAATATTTGCTATTCTTTTCACCGTGTTCGTGCCATCGAGCTCTTGCGCGTAGTATAATCCCTTCTACTTTGTCCTCGTACAGTGCTTCAAGATCCTGCTTAGATTTTTCTAGTGCCAGACGCGTATTGTTACAAGGATTTGTGTGAAACATTAGGACTGCCTCCTGATAACGTTTATTTAATTCCTCTTCTTGTTTCCGTCGAATGGAAGCTATTTGTTTGGAGAATATGATGGAGTTTGACCTTATATTAAACTTGATCCAATCCCACAAAAGTCTGGGATCATGTATATCTTTACCTGCATCCAGCCAGGTCGGTAAATTGTTTGTTATCATATGTTTATAATTTTCATTTGCCAATAGAGAAGTGTTTAGTTTCCAGAAGCCAGCTCCTCTTCCACTTGATTCGATTTCTTCAAGTTCTAAAAAAATAGCGGAATGGTCTGTTTTGATCGAGGGTATGATATCGACCTTAGTTACCAAATCATGTAATTTATCGAATATTAGCCAGTAATCTACTCGGCAAAATATAAAAGGTGAACAACGCCCCCAGGTAAAGCTTTGCAATGTTGGGTTTTTTAGGCGCCAAATGTCGTGCAGACTGAATTCATTTTGCAATTCATCTATAGAGTTGATTACATATTTTCGAGGAATCGGTAAACCACCTTTTTTGTCAAGTGTGATGTCGAGAGGACAGTTAAAATCTCCACCTATAATAATGTTTTCTTCATTACCAAATTCATCATTTCTTAATAATTTTGATAAATTACGATAAAACTTGACAGCATCGGCGTCTTTGTTTGGGCCATATATGTTTGCAATTGTGTATATCTCATTGTTAATAGCAGCTTTTAGAACAATAAACCTGCCATCCGAACTTATTTCACTTTGTTGAATAATAATGTTCAAACTATTCTTTATGAGAATTGCAACACCTCTAGCATTTGTACTGCCGTGTGAAAATAAAATAGAAGCGCCCCACTCTTTTCGCCACTGATCCTGTCGTTCTGTTGTGGAATGAGTTTCTTGTAAAAATATTAAATCGGCTTTTTGCTTTCTACACCAGGAAAAAATTGCCCTACGTTTATGAAAGTTGCTTAGGCCTCTAACATTCAAGGAAAGAAATTTGATGCTTTCAGGCTTAGCTTTCGAATTATGCATTCTTAATGTAAGAATAATTAAGTGTTATCACATTTATAATAGGTGCTATTTGCTCGGAAAATGAATAGAATAGCAAAACAAATGTAAAAGTAGTAAGAGAATAATTTAAGTTTTGAACAAGAAGTACAACACAGACACAAAACAACAACACACAAAATATACAAACAAACGAAAGCGCACTTACCATCTCGGTTGCTGCACACTTTCGCCGAGATCTCCATGGCAAATGGTTGTATTATACTATGGTATTAAAAGTGACAAGCAGTTTTGCCTGCGCCGAAATTGTAAACAAAACTATAAATCATACAGTTCATTTAGCTATAAATACAATTACGCAGTATATAATGACAACAAAACAGCAACATAAGGATTACTCATGTCTGATTTTAAAGGACTTGAGACCTTCAGAATCGATTTCTTTATACAGTATCTGCGCGGGAACTGACCATGGGATGAACGCGAACTGGACTCCTTCTCTTTCTTTAAGTTGCTTTAAATGATCTTTCCGTAGTTTGGCTCTTTCACTTCGAACTGATTTTGACACGTCGTCGGATATGAATATCTGACTGTCGCAGAAAGGGTTATCTTTCCAAAGGTGTACTTCTTCTCGAGAGACGAAAATATATCTCTTCTTATCCCTTTAACTCCCAAGATCTGATGTCAATTCTCCCCTCCAGCTACAACACATTTCCTTGTAAATTGATTACGAGAGTTAGGTGTTCAATCAAGGTAATAAATCGTACCTGATGAGTTTGAATGTTTTCTTCAACTGTTTGCTGTATAATGTATGGATACTTTAGGGAGAAATTACATGGTAATCGCTTCTGGGAGTAAAGGGTTAAAAGGTAAGAAAGTTTTTTCCATTATTTGCATAAGTCATAAGAGGAAATCAAACTCCCAGCGGAAGCCTGAAGAAATTTGCTTTAGGGAGAAGTTACATGGTAATCGCTTCTGGGAGAAAAGGGCTAAAAGAAAGTTTTTTTCCATTATTTGCATAAGTCATAAGGGGAAATCGAACTCCCAGCGGAAGACTGAAGAAATTTGCGTTGGCTAAGTTCCAAGTTTACAGAAAGCCTGTTCTGAATTTGATACCCAACTGTTATTATTTGTCATTCGCCATTATAATAATGATGTAACCAGTTATTCTTATGACATAATTCCATCAAATTATTTCCATCACATGGAAAGTATTACAGAGTTGCATTTTTCAGCTCATTTTAATGAAACGAGCTCGAACCACCAACTCCTATACTACTTCAATATCCGTTCATAAGAAAACGTCTGTTCTTGAAATAATTTTGTTTTCGTGAGTTCGCCGTCTTGTTGTTAATTTTCGCAAACGGTTTAGAGCTAATTTAGAGAAAAGAAAATAAAAACAATTGGGGGTTATCCATTGACCTTAGTTGCCGATCTCTGACAATGTTTTCATCATTCTCATAAAATAATCATACCTCATGAAATAGTCATATGAGGGACCTTAAGCGGTCAGGACGGTAAAGATAAGGAAGACTTCGATTACAAAATGAATTGAATTTATTCTTTAAGTTAGAATTTCGTCTCTTACGGCGCCACACCTCAACTTCAGCAAAACGTGAGTAAGCAGCATTGAGTACCGAATAGAAACTTAAATAATAGAGTCACTCACAAGAGTTTGAGTCTTAGATAGTACCAAATTACTGCATTTCATCTTTGCCTTATTTTCTTTGTGTCTAACTTCCTATTTGTACAAGACTGGTAGCTGTAGTAGGTTAGTATAGAATGAAATGGTACATTTGAAGGTGTACCTCTTCTAAAGGGAAGAAAATATATCTCTTTTTATCCCTTTAACTCCCAAGATCTGATGTCAATTCTCCCCTCCAGCTACTACACATTTCCTTGTAAATTGATTACGAGAGTTAGGTGTTCAATCAAGGTAATAAATCGTACCTGATGAGTTTGAATTCTGGGAGTGAAAGGGTTAAAAAGTAAGAAAGGTCTTTTTTTCACTATTTGCATTCGACATAAGGGGAAATCGAACTCCATGTGGAAAACCGAAGAAATTTGCGTTGGCTAAGTTTCAAGTTTACAGAAAGCCTGTTCTGAATTTGATACCCACCTGTTATTATTTGTCATTCGCCATTATAATAATGATGTAACCAGTTATTTTTATGACATAATTCCATCAAACTATTTCCATCATATGGAAAGTAGTACAGAGTTGGCATTTTCAGCTCACTTTCATGAAACGAGCTCGAACCGCCAACTCCTATACTACTTCATTATCCGTTCATAAGAAAACGTCTGTTCTTGAAATAATTTTGTTTTCGTGAGTTCGCCGTCTTGTTGTTAATTTTCGCAAACGGTTTAGAGCTAATTTAGAGAAAAGAAAATAAAAACAATTGGGGGTTATCCATTGACCTTAGTTGCCGATCTCTGACAATGTTTTCTTCATTCTCATAAAATAATCATACCTCATGAAATAGTCATATAAGGGACCTTAAGCAGTCAGGACGGTAAAGATAAGGAAGACTTCGATTACAAAATGAATTGAATTTATTCTTTAAGTTAGAATTTCGTCTCTTACGGCGCCACACCTCAACTTCAGCAAAACGTGAGTAAGCAGCATTGAGTACCGAATAGAAACTTAAATAATAGAGTCACTCACAAGAGTTTGAGTCTTAGATAGTACCAAATTACTGCATTTCATCTTTGCCTTGTTTTCTTTGGGTCTAACTTCCTATTTGCACAAGACTGGTAGCTGTAGTAGGTTAGTATAGAATGAAATGGTACATCCATTTCCGAAGGTGTACTTCTTCTCGAGAGAAGAAGTTTTCATTCGCAATTACAATTAAAATAATAAAAGGCTAAGTGTCGTTATTTAAAGTTTGCCATCAAGCAGCTGCTCAAATTTTCAAGCCTAAGTATGAGCACATTTTTTGCTAGGGAGATTTTTCCTCCTAAAAGTGTTTGTCTAACTCGTTCATCAATTAACCAAAGCTGATGTGCGTCCACCGATATTTCTACATAAAAACAGGTCTTCAGGTGTTCGGCATCATAGAACGCCCCAAAGATTTGAAATTGAATTTCTGCTTGAAAGGTAGGAATAGTTCTTGGTAACAGTTTTATTGAGCGTAAATTGAAATGGAGATGTTCAGTCCATAGCGTATTTAGGCAAAAAAACAATCGAACAAGCGAAAGTATCATATGGAATGTAACAACTATGACCGAATTATTATGAGAAAAAGTAGAGAGGTATATTTCTTTCAGACCGATGACACACAAATATTATTGAGACAACTGAACTAAAATTAGGCAAAGTTGCAGTTGATTAAAAAGAAGGACGATGTTGAAAGTAGCTTGATATATTTCCTCCCTCACAAGTTTAATTTTTTGAAACAGCACACCACTGCCTGTTAAAAATACGTCTCACGTTTCCTAGATTCGCTTAAATTGCCTAAATATTTCTTAACTTTTTAAACAGGAAAAATGCTGGAGAAAATGAAATGTTACCTACTCTTGGCTCTTTTTACGTGTCTGGACTGTTTTTCTGCAAATAACCAGTGCGGATTAAGTAGCATGGGAGGTATGGCTCGTAAGAATTCACGTTTTCAGGATATGATGTAGTCAGCCCTCCATATCTGTTATCTACTGTGCGAAAAAAAAGAGTTAACTTCCACGAAAACAAAATTATAAAAAACAGAAGATAGTAACCACTGTTAGCTCTTTTGAGTACCACACACCATCCAAGATCATTATATTTCGGCTGCAATTACACCTGAAGCCTTTCTAAGAGTGATTTTCCCCTGGAATAAATTATTTACTCTCTTCACAATATAATTGTTTGACATCAACCCTCACGTTTTGTGAGTAAAAGAGTATTAGTTTTGACCATCTCTCATAAAAGAAAAAAGGTCGAAAGAAATCACCTTTTTGGAGATGTAAATGCCGTACAAAAGGCTTTCGCGATGAAGACAACTTGACTGAATTACTGCCCATAATATGGAAAGGTTTGCCACCTGTTCATGCTTTTTTGACATAGCTGATTATATTTCTCATTGGTTTCCTTATTCCTTCTTCCTCCCTCAGATGATTGTCGAGTGATTGAATTCAAAGAAGGAACAAAAAATAAGATCTTAACAAATCACGTCATTAGGGAAGATCATCTGCCAGACAAAGATGTTTGTGAATTGAGATGCTATCTTGAACCAAACTGCGTGTCCTACAACTATGGTCTACTGTCAGATGGAACATTCACATGTGAACTGAATGACAGGACCCACTTACAAGTCCCCGGCTCCCTTGAAGACAAAATTGGATTTGTATACACAGAAATTTTTGTAAGTACGGCCTGGTAACATGCAGTTTTAATTTACAAAGGTGATCAATTTACGAACAAAAAAAACTCGGATATAGTGTTGTTCCCTTCGATGTTATTTATTTATCTATTCATCATATAAATTGATCTATTTTCTTCCTATCTTTTCAGAATCCTTGTGAGAGCATTCCATGTGCCAATCACGCCTCATGTCAAGCGGGGTTTGGTAACCATGGATACCGCTGTATTTGTCCTTCTGGATATCGAGGAGTTCAGTGTGAAACAGGTGAGGAAAAAAACATCTAACGATAAAAAGATGAGTTCAGACAGTTCAATATTTAATTGAGTTTAAAATAAAGTTAACCAGCTATAATTGCCAAAAAATTATGCGTGCAATGTTAAGATGGGGAAAAAACAGGAGAACAGGCGTAAGAATCCTGACTAAAAAGATGTGAAAAGGACAGGCAGGAAGAGGAACAGAAAGAAAAGTACACAGATACACAGGGCCACTTTCATAGAGTTGGAAGAAATGTCTTATAGTGGAGAGTTTTTAGCTTTGGTTTTTTTTCTTAAATTCTGGAAAGATGTTGATGAATGCCTATTAGGAAAACACGATTTTCCTGCTGAGCGCGAATGTGTCAATAATTTGGGTTCATATCAGTGCTCACATTGTCGACCTGGATAAATTGACGATGGAGAGACCTGTTAAGGTAAGATTTGTATACAATGAAGAAGACAATGAAGACAAAAAGAAAATAGTGGACACATACATATGGACCGCCAACGATGGTGGTGACAGCAAGTCTTACATATCGAATAAGAGAAAGTTAACAAAACTAGGTTAGCTATCATTTATATCTTATTCAGATTGAGAGACAGACAGTGAGAGACAGACAGACAGAGAGTAACGACAGAAAGTAACTGATACATGGGGATACGAGAGGTAACTCAGTAGCATGTTCAAGCCACAGATGCGCACTTAACACGATGTAGATTACGCCTGCTCTGTAGGCATGTAGGCCATCAAGATAGATACCATCTACAGCTAGTTTGGCCTCGTTAAGGCTAACCAGCTATGCCATAGGCAGAGACCAAAAACAAAGCCGAACGTGGCTACCAACTTGTTGGCTTTTTTTTCCTTATTATCTACTATTATCACTTCAATGCACATCCTATGCCTTCAAAAGTCACCGATGGAGTTTGCTACACTTAATGGCCTCTAACTCTATTTGATTCCCTTCCCCAATTTATAGGGAATTTCACGCAAGGTGTAAATTGCCTGAAGTGTTTTTAATTCCTCCAGTTTTTGCTGTTTGATTTTACAATGTTTAGATATCGATGAGTGTAACGATGGTAGCCATAACTGTCATGATGCGGCCGATTGTACAAACACCGCTGGATCATTCAATTGCAGCTGCCAATTTGGACACCTTGGAGATGGACGGCACTTTTGCTCAGGTATATGTTGATCTCCAACTGAATACGAAATCATATTTAGGTAACCTACGTTACACTTAAGGTCCCCGGCACTCCTTTTTACACCATATCAACAGAAGAAAGCCGAAAGATTTGATTTATCAACCACCAAAGTGTTGTTAATCATGTGTGTAGGTGTAAGTGTAGCTTGTGCAATGCAAGCTAACGCAGCTAACGCAGCTAACGCTCATATCTGTCACAGCTTCGCATAAGTGTAGCTTGTGCAATGCAAGCTAACGCAGCTAACGCTCATATCTGTCACAGCTTCGTAATATTGAACGAGGCGTTCTTCTGGTCAAGAAAATTGTAATTTTCGACACTATTCACGCGCGGCGATACTTATCAAAATATTATTCTGACTAATCTTGTCTGGACAATTGCAAAGTGAGATTTTTTTCTATTTTCTAACGACAAACTCTTTATTTTGATCAAAAATTTTCTTTGACCTAACTTGATAACATCATTTTTAAAACCTACCCATTTTCTTGACAGATAACTGGAAAAAAATTAACCCCGATCCTGTCTGCTTTGGGACAAAAAATGACGCCTTTGGATCCTTTAAAATCCAAGAGGCCGGTAAAATCTACTCATTCAAACTTGTGCATACATATGGCTCCGTGACATGTAATACTAACCTCGAATCCACAAAGTGGGGATGTTCATACACAGGTTTCGGACGTCATAGTCTACTGACGGTGATAACTTACCGCAACAAGACTGTTCTTCCACTTGCTAAGTTCGTGAAAGGCGTTGATGGCTATAGGTACCAACTTGACGGTGCTCATGTCAACTCCCCGACGCTTGTGTTTAACCTGCTCCCCACCCCTCTGGTTGTGTCGATTGGACAGCAGTTCCTAATATGGTATGGGCAAGACTTGGCAGATAATTCCGAGGGCAATAATGCCGGGAAGACATGCGCAGATGTTTACGCTTTGTACCCTTAAACTGAACTTTAGCATAAAACTTAACTTGAATCTATGTACAGAAGTAAATATCTAAGTATATAAATGTGAATACATTGCGAACCAATATAGTAACCAGCTCCTAGTTGGCTTTGTAGTTCAGTTGGTCGAGCACTGCACCGGTATCGCACCGTCACAAGCCTGAATTTTTTTCAGGCCTTATTTTCATCACTGCTTAAGTAGTGTTCATAATTGCGAAGATCGCTTCCATATTCATAGCCAGCTCACATATATGATATGCATATATTTACAGTAGTGTAAACAATGTCAATGTCGGCACGCGGCGGAAGGTAGCAAAGAAAGCGCACTTTTATGCCTTTCCTTGATGGTCGAATCCACTTTGGAAATACTTTTTATTATAAAGAGAAGCTTGACATGGCGATAGATATGGCAAGTATGGACAATGTACTCGAGTCATATACAAATTCTCGCGAAGGTGGCGGTAGACCCTCACTAAGAAATGATGGTTGGCGTACATTTCGAAGACCTATTAGGGAGGTTAGATCCTAGGCAGAGTTAGTGTAATCTTTGTATTAGCAGCCCCATTATCTTTTTGCAGCCTGGCCGGGCGCTGTTATAAGGAGACGGTGATACTGTCAGAAGGCGTTAAGAATTTGTTGCTAGGATCACCTAAACAAAATTAACTAATGACATTATAGGAAATGAATAATGACTTCAAATTAATTCTACGTGGCTAATAAATGTCCAAGGCCAATACAAACAGATATGACGAATAATGTACGTGGGATTTCTCGTAACTGGATTAGTCAGTTTTAAGTAGGTTACCCTGGCAATTTTCTAGTATGTTCGATGTAGTAGAATAGTTTAATAACTTTCAGTTCAGCAGTAAAGCAGTAAAGAAATATCCATGCAGTCTAAATGCTGCATAACCCAGTTGCATTTACTCTTATAATCATAGACTGATCTCACTTGTAATAGAAATTTAGAGTCACTATTGAGTAGATACTCCATTTTCTTAGACAACCAACATTAGTCTACAATGGAAAGACCAAAATCTTGCTCTAGTTAATTTACTTTCATGACTTAACATTTAACTTCACTTCTTAAGTGTTTTTGTTTACTTGGATCTTTTGTAACTGAAAATAGTTCTATTAGAAACTTTCTTCCCCATGTAAAAATACAACCAAAAACAAAGAAATCATAGCCTTCATTTCTTATTTTTTTCTGTAACGCTTGACAACCTCATAAATATTAAATAAAACAATCTTACGATTAAGAGTTTATTATATCGCTAGCAGTGTCCGTGCTTGCGGAGCTCGTGCACTGAAGCGAATCCTGTGTCTCGATTATCTACCCGAGCATGCAAGATGGGCCCATCGATATCATACTCGCTTTGATCCTGCGCAAGAAGAAAAATTACGTGGACCGGACTAACAAAGTTCGTAATTCTTGGACAAAAGTGTCGATGATGGAGTCGCAAAAAGCAGCCGAAGACAGTTAAAAAAAAAAAACAAACATAAGCAACCTTGGTGGGTTTATTGTGCTACAAATACAGTTGGATTTCTTTCTCAGCTCTCGAAAAGAAAATTTACTCTTGATTCTTACTAAAGCGGAATCTTCTTTGCTTTATAATACATCCTTTATTGATCAAAGTTGTGCAGTCAAGATGGCTGGACATTAGCCTCGTCATTATCTGTCCGTTTTTAAGGACCTCGACTTCGTATCGGTCCATAAAAATGCCTAAAAAGAACTCGCCCAATAATCAGAAATCTTGACAGCACGCATGGTTAATAATTCATAGATATTGGTGTTACAGCACGATTATGACGATGTTTTCAAATAGCGTTACTCTGGGAATTGTAACAAAGATTGGAAGTAAAACGTGTATTATTATCAGCGAGTTTTCTAAAAAAAGTGGGACTCATAGGGAAAAATGGAGTTCTTTCCTATCTTGTGCTTCATCTAAGGAAGCTGGAAATGGTTTTTCTATCCTCCGACTGGCTAACCGGCTACAATAAAAAACAGATAATTTATACAACAAACTCTTTGCAAGTATCTTAGTGTAGCAAGTGTAACTTGGTGTAATTAAGCCCCTCTCCCCAGTCTAACAAGCACTCAATTTGACAGGTAAAATGTGCTACTGCTTAATGAAACAAAAGATTCAATCGTTTGGAATGGATTTCTTATAGGAATAGAATTGGTTGAATTGACTTATCTTAAATCGCTCGTAAAATTCTTGTTTATCAAGAGGTAACCATGTACGGCCATTCAGTATTAAAATCTGGTGTCTTTCAATAAAATCAATCTCTTCACTCCCCGAAAAACTTTAAAAAAATTCACTGAAAAAGTGCCTGAAATTGAGCGAAATCAGTTTCGGCCAAAATTTAAAAATTTACTATTTCCGTGAAATCAGTCCAAAAGCTATCACAAGTAGCTTGAAGTAAGGGCTTAACTGCTGTCATCTTCGAGGCCACTTCTCCTTCTGTGTGTAGATACTGATGAGTGTACATCGAGGAAACACGATTGTTCCTTTGACGGGGACTGTGTTAATGTCGTGGGTTCCTATCAGTGCTCTTGCAAGCCTGGATTTACTGGCGATGGTAAAATTTGCCAAGGTAACATTTATTTTATATAAAAGTGCAAAGCTATTGATTACCCTCTTCACCGGTCTTGCAAGACAGAAATAACTGATGTGATTCGCAGGGTCAGTTGAAATTACTGCTAAAACAGGTCAGTCTTTACATGTTAATGTAACGGAGAAAGCTGCCTCCACATCATAGTTAGCAAAATTGCTTTTTTAAGCATATCTAAAATATACAGAACGATGACGAACTTCTGGCAAACCTGTGAATTCACGACCTCAGCACGTTACACTTTTCAGTAGATTCTGGGAAACGCCAAAAAAAACAACCCCACCTCTTCTGATAATTTCCCTACACCTTGATTAGTCTTATATTCAATTTCTACTTAAATATCGATGAGTGTAACGATGGAAGCCATGACTGTCACTTTGCGGCCGATTGTACAAACACCGCTGGATCATTCGACTGCAGCTGTCAGTCTGGACACCTTGGAGATGGACGACACTTTTGCTCAGGTATATCTTGATCTTTAACCCAAAACAAACAAATGTGAGTGAGTAGAGTGGTTTGAACATAACCAAAGTTATTTCTTTAATTACTTTCCTCAAAAAAATCAATTTATTTTGCGTTACCATTTCTAAGACACGAAAACCTAAGGCTTTCTTTGAAACCTGACAAACATTTTAACAGATAACTGGAAAAAGGTCAACATCGATCCTGTCTGCTTTGGGACAAAAGATGACGACCACGGAACTTTTCATATCCAAGAAGCCGGTCAAATCTACACATTTAAACTTGTCCATACAAGTGGCTCCGTGACATGCGTATCCATTTTAGCAATATCAACAAAGTGGGGATGCTCATTGCCAATTTACGGAAATCACAACATAATGACGGTGATAACTTACAGCAACAAAACAGTTCTCCCGCTTACTGAGTTCTTGAAAGGCAACGACAGCACATACTATACTTACCAACTTGACGGTGCCGATTTCAACTCCGCAACACTAGTGTTCAAGCTCCTCCCCACCCCACTGGTTGTATTGGTTGGTCAGCAGTTCCAATTATGGTATGCGCATGACTTGGTTAATTATACTGAGTATAATAACGATGGTAAGACATGCGCAGACGTTTATGCTCTGTACAATTTACACGGTTAAACGGTTGCGGCAACTACAGATGACTTCGGTCGTACGTCTGCACTTTGCTGAATCACAGCCGGCAAACAATCGGAGAGCAGGTGGTATTTAGTTCATAAAGAAGGCACGGTAGATGTGATATGGCTTCAATCACCAGGTCCTTAATGAATGGTCCGTTCAGTTGATACGATAAGTAAGCTGATTGGTTACCGGGACCCTATATTAACAAATTCAGCAAGCTTCGACATCGATATGGAAACGTAGTAGATAATTTCATGTAGTAATGCAAGTATGTAATGACGAAAAGAAAAAGCAGAAAAAAAAGCAACACTAAGAGTCGAGATTTGCTTTGCCTCCTTAGCTATTCACCAGCTTACATTCAACGCACGCCTACTGCATCATTGTTAAATATTTCACAACAGTTATTTTCCCTGCGGCTGATGCTTATGAATTTGCTTTCTTTCAATGAAAATGAATTGAAAATAAACTTTAGTGCTCCAGAGCTCATAAAAACTTCAATAATAAACAACAATCTCTTTTATCAGCTCTTCTTTAAGATGGCTTAAATTTAAAACTGTCGAGTTTCATTTTATGCCGTGTTTCTGTTTTTCATTATCTTTACAGTGGATTTGGGTCCAGAAATCGCACTTTGAATAGCTTGTATTTAATTTTATCTTTAGTAAACAAACAACTGAACTTAAGGAAATTTTGATTGGCAGTAAGAGCTGATTGGGGTACCCCGTTGGTTTAAACAGTTAAAAAAAGTGTCCTGCGATAGTTGTAATTTGCGTTGGACGCGTCTTAAAGATACGTGACGGGATGGCGGTACGTTTGTGACATAAACGATTATTAAACCGTTTAACCATCCTGCAAAAATTAGCCCTGAATAATTTCGGTAACCAAAGACACTGCTTTTTTTTGTGGGCGGCTGGCACATTTAATTTCAGCTTTAAAACAGTGTCGACGGGGTGTCCTTGTAATATATTGCCAATATAATTGTTTTCCTTTTCTTTTCTTGTAAGATATTGTCGATACAATTGTTTCCTTTAGCATTGTGGTATTTCATCTTTTTTTTCCCTTTCTTTCGAGGCAGGACATCAGTCTCTTTCATGACACCAAGGCGATATATTTGAGTTAAGATGAGAAATAAAATGAGTACTCTTGAGGTAAACAAACGTCAGGTGCAAACTTGAGCGATATAAGCGTATCACCAACCTAATCTACATTGAGAATTTTCTATGTGATTGATATCAAGTGGATTCACTTTAATTATATTCAATTTTACCCTCCTTCTTATTTGAATTTGGTTATTTAGAGGCAAAGGTGTTCAAGTTTGGGTTTATCACTTGAAATATGTTAGCTTAAAAAAGTGTTGATGGTCTTTTCAATTTTCATTTCCACAAAATTAAATCTATCGCTGTTCCGCATGTTCTCTGTTTCAAGTATTTCCTTAAGCTTTCATCTTATCGTTGAAGAATTCTTTTTTAATTAATTATCACTTGAAATATTTTAGCTTAAAAAAGTGTTGATGGTCTCTTCAATTTTCATTTCCACAAAAATAAATCTATCACTGCTCAGCATGTTCTCTGTTTCAAGTATTTCCTTAAAATTAAAATAAATCTGCATGCTTTCTCGCACGTCTTTGTCGTGGAGCTTTTTGAAGCGGTCCAACCTTTTTTTATTTTGATCCTTCAATAAATTAATCTGCAGTTGAACGCGCTCGACAGATTTTCAACTTCATTTAACGCATACATCAAAGTGGTAACACTGAAAAACGTCTTGCGTTAGGCAATCTTCGTCAAACGGTTAATTAGTTATTTACAAAGGCTAACATCACGCATTTAAGTTTTTTTTTTCTCCTACAGTTTTTCTGTAATTCTTAAGACTCGATGTTTTGTTTTCAAATTAAGTTAAGCCATGTGATTATTCAAGTGACGTATTCGCAAATGTTAAAAAATAAAATCCTATAACTGTGAAGCGTGCTGGTCTCACATCTGCCGCTTACATTAATATTCATTTTCCTCTTTTATGATTCTGCAATTCGCTGTATTGTTTTGAGTGTTGAAATATTAGGTCTCGTTGCATTTAAAAGAGAGAGCAGCGTTTCATTTAGCTCGCTATAGCTAGCTGAAAGGTGTTCTCACTAACGACAATATGATACTGTTCTCACCAGCCGTTGGTGATCCTTCAATGAGTAAGGTCCTAACTTTAATATGGATTTTTCGTTTTGGTGTACTGGTGCATGGAGGTAAGTGACTCCTGCCAAAAGCTGGCATCGCTTACACTTTAATCTATTATAACTGTTTTATTCGTGATCAGATTCATATCCTTGTGTTAATGGTACAAAAAAAAGAAGAAAGTAAGTGTGTGAAAATAGAAAACTCATTAAGTTAAATTTAAATCTATTCCGAGTGATAATGTGAAATTTCGAATTCTCAAAGTAAAAATGGCAGAAATGGGATATTGCACGATAGCACTTTATTGCAAAACTACCCTGTTTACAATGCCGTGATCTTAGTTGGGCGTAAAGGAAACGTGAACGTGGAGAGAAGATCTGTTGGTAAAATTATTGCGGATTCAAGGCGACACTTGTCCATACAAGATCTGTTAACAATTTTTGAGTTGCTGATGTCCGATTTTTATGTAATGAAAACTGAAACGGAAAAAAAACATTGATGAAGACCTTGAAAGCTAAAGGAGTAATAGTATAGATTTGCTATCGCAAAGAATTTCTAAAGCTGACGTTCCAGAGCGAAGCGCTAAAGGTTATTGAGTTATACCCCCACCGATGTACCGTCACAGTTTCCTTAGAAACCCACCCCCCTCATTTTAAAACCAGATCCTATTTAGAATTATGATGGTGAAAATCAATCTTGTTCTTCAATGTAATGGGTAAATAAAAAAATTATGGTCCGAAAAAGCAACTTTTCTGGTAAGGTGAATATGATGCATGAATAATTCAAGTTTGCAGGCTATTTAGCTCAGTCACTCACCTAACGAAAAGAGAGGAAAGGCTTATCACCTGCCTTTCTTTCGAGGATGAAAGAGCGTAGCAAATATTCGTGGTTTTTTTTTTTCCGTCGAGCGGCAAATCAAGAGTTAATTATGTAGTTTCCTAGACATTTATGGAACAACTTTCAACAAATATTGCGATAAGACTTAGGTTGTCGGCTTCCTTTAAGCTTGTGTGCTGTTTGATTTCATTTTCTCATTGGCTTTTTCATTGGCTTATTTATTTCTTGCCTATATCTTAGACGATTGCCGAGTGATTCAGTTTAAAGCAGGAACGAAAAACAAGATCTTAACAAAACACGTCATAAGAAGTGAACAAGCAAAGGACAAGGATATCTGCGAGTTCAAATGCTACTTTGAACCAAACTGTGTGTCCTATAACTATGGTCCTCTGGGAGATGAAGCATTCACATGCGAGCTAAATAACAGAACTCATTTGCAAGTCTCTCCCAGTTACTTCGAATATAGGAACGGCTCTTTATACAGAGCAATCATTGTAAGTAAATAACCATATGAGTTTTACCAGGGTGATCGTTCCGCAAGCGAGAAACCTCTGTTTCCTCGTTCATTTATTTACCACTTTATTATTTATCTCTCTAAATACTCAGTCTATTTATTTACTCATCTAAGCTTTATCTATCTAATTACTTGATTCATCTTTTTCAGAATCCCTGTGAGAGCAATCCGTGCGTTAGTAACTCTAAATGTCAAGCGGGGTTTGGTAGTCATGGTTACCGCTGTATTTGTTCTGACGGATATGAAGGAGGGCTTTGCCAAATAGGTGAGAAAGGAAACTCCCCGCGATAGCAGGTCTTCATCTCTCAGGTTTACAGTTAAAGTTACACAATAAAGCTGCAAGTAAAGTAGCCTCTCATCAAGGAGAGTTTTGAATCCTCATCTGTTTAATCAATATAACCTTGATATCTGCATCAAAGGATATCTCCGTCATGGGGCAAGGGGCAAGTTAGATTTGTTCAGTATGTGCTCTCTCAAATGCTAGAAGTTGTCAGAAGGATTGAAACTCCAAGGTTGTGACAACAAGAGAAGTCGTGCTAAGATGTTCTTCTAGAGCATTAACCGAGGTGTGATATCCAAGTATTGCTGTCGTGATGTGATAAATCTTAGATAATGGAGCTTACAGAAAAACGAGAAAGTAAGAGAATATCGGAATAAGAATGGGTGATATGAAGGGCAAACTGCCTCATGTTGTCAATTGTGGATATTTGATGCAAGGGTAAGAACAGAAATGAAACAAATAAAAGTACAAGTTTTGTATAGGTAATCACGTGATTTCGAGTGCAATTTGGAATAAATAAGCACGAGTAAATATTTTTAAAGACTAACAAAATTGCACGCGCCGGTAGGGCCCGTGCAATTTGTGGTCTTTGAAAAAATTAACAAGTGCTTGTTTATTCCAAATTGCGCGATAAAAATAATGTGATTACGTGTTAATAATATACATGAAAAAATACGAGATGGCTTATCATAATTAAGCATAAGCAAAGCGCGCGCATCAAGTGCAAAAATAATTTATTCAAACAGTAATATGCAATGATATCTTCACATTTTTAAGGCGCAAAAAAGTTCAAAGTCCGGCTAAACAGTTCAAGGAAGTGTTCAGTCTGTGTCGGAATCACTTTCCATGAAATGGAATCGTCGTTTCCGAGGTTTAACCACGTTTGTTTTTAATTTCGACTTTGGATCGCTCGAGCAAAATGTTAAGCTGGGTCGGCTCGTAATTTTCGATTTCCTTGGCAATTCCCTTCTCTAAACACCACTTTTGCCAAACCGACAACCAAAAAGCAGTGCTTTTTACAGTGTTTTCGTTGATTGAGCTGTTTTTCAGCCGCAGTGGCGAAAGAAAACCTACTTAAAACGCCGGCCATTGTTTCGCTCGCAAATTTTCAAGTTTTGTTGCGACATCCAAGGCACGCATTTGATTGGCTATCTGTGAATTTCTTTGATTATTGACCAATCAGAATGTCTGATTTGTCACTTTCTTTTCACTGAATTAACCCTCTTCTGCACTGAATTAACTCTCTTCTGCACCGAATTACCTGAAAACTGCATTTATCATAACCAATCATGTGAAATGAAACGAATAAAAGTATAAGTTCCTGCTGAAAGCAAATAGTTCAGTGGAATTTTGGAATAACTGACAGAAATAATTGATTAATACGATCGAGATGAACTTTAGATGAAAAAGATCTATTCAAAATAAGGAATATTATGGTTTTTTTCATCTTCCTTTAATCTTGAATAGATATTGACGAATGTGTCTTAGGCAAGGAGAAGTGTTCCTCTGATGGCAGTTGTCTTAATGTTATGGGCTCATACGTCTAACTTCTCCGTCTCAGAATTATCTTCTGATAATTTCCCTACACCTTGATTAGTCTCATATTCCATTTCTACTTAGATATCGATGAGTGTAACGATGGAAGCCATGACTGTCACTTTGCGGCCGATTGTACAAACACCGCTGGATCATTCGACTGCAGCTGTCAGTCTGGACACCTTGGAGATGGACGGCACTTTTGCTCAGGTATATCTTGATCTTTAACCCAAAACACAAACAAATGTGAGTGAGTAGTGCGGTTTGAACATAACCACAGTTATTCTTTAATTACTTTCCTCAAACAAATCAATTTATTTTGCGTTACCATTTCTAAGACACGAAAACCTAAGGCTTTCTTTGAAACCTGACAAACTATTTAACAGATAACTGGAAAAAGGTCAACATCGATCCTGTCTGTTTTGGGACAAAAGATGACGACCACGGAACTTTTTATATCCAAGAAGCCGGTCAAATCTACACATTTAAACTTGTCCATACAAGTGGCTCCGTGACATGCCTCACTTCAAAAACATCAACAAAGTGGGGATGCTCATTGCCAATTTACGGAAATCACAACATAATGACGGTGATAACTTACAGCAACAAAACAGTTCTTCCGCTTGCTGAGTTCTTGAAAGGCAGCGACAGTACATACTATACTTACCAACTTGACGGTGCCGATTTCAACTCCGCAACACTAGTGTTTAAGCTCCTACCCACCCCACTGGTTGTATTGGTTGGTCAGCAGTTTCAGTTATGGTATGCGCATGACTTGGTCAATTATACTGAGAATAATAACGATGGTAAGACATGCGCGGACGTTTATGCTCTGTACCATTTACACAGTTAAACGGTTGCGGCAACTACAGATGACTTCGGTCGTACGTCGGCACTTTGCTGAATCCCACCGGCAAACAATCGGAGAGCGGGTGGTATTTAGTTCATAAAGAAGGCACGGTAGATGTGATATGGCTTCAATCACCAGGTCCTTCATGAATGGTCCGTTCAGTTGGCACGATAAGTAAGCTGATTGGTTACCTGGTCCCTATAGTGACAAATTAAGCAAGCTTCGACATCGATATGGAAACGTAGTAAATAATTTCATGGAATAATGCAAGTATGTAATGACAAAAAAAAAACAGAAAAAAAGCAATATTAAGAGTCGAGATTTGCCGTAATATTACCTAGTGCAGTAATGAAGTGCCTCCTTAGCTATTCACTAACTCACATTCAACGCGCGCCTACGGCATTATTGTTAAATATTTCACAACAAAAAAATGTTACTCTTGAGGTAAACAAACGTCAGGTGCAAACTTGAGCCTTGTAAGTGTACACCAACCTAATCTACATTGAGAATTTTCTATGTGATCGACATCAAGTGGATTCACTTTAATTATATTCAATTTTACCCTCCTTCTTATTTGAATTTGGTTATTTATAAGCATAGGTGTTCAAGTTTGGGTTTATCACTTAAAATATTTTAGCTCAAAAAAGTGTCGATAGTCTTTTCAATTTTCATTTCCACAAAAATAAATCTATCATTATTCAGCATGTTCTCTGTTTCAAGCTTTCATCTTGTTGTAAAATAATTTTTTTTTAATCGGAATAAATGTGCATGCCTTCTCGCACGTCTTTGTCATGGAGTTTTTTGAAACGGTTCAACCTTTTTTCATTTTGATCGTTTTAATAAATCAATCTGCAATTGAACGCACTCGACAGATTTTCAATTTCATTTAATGCAAACATCAAATTGGTAACACTGAAAAACATCTTGCGTAAGGCAATCTTCGGCAAACGGTTAATTAGTTATTTCCAAAGGCTAACATCACGCATTCAAGTTATTTTTTTTCTCCTACAGTTTGTTTCTAATTCTTAAGACGCAATGTTTTGTTTTCAATTTAAGTTAAGCCATGGGAATATTCAAATCATGTATTCGTAAATGGTAAAAAATAAAATTCTATAACTTCGAAGGGTGCTGGTCTCACAACTGCCTCTTACATTAATAATTACTTTCCTCTTTTATGATTCTGCAATTCGCTCTATTATTTTGAGTGTTGAAATAATAAGTCTGGTTGCATTTACAAGAGAGACCAGCGTTTCATTAAGCTCGCTATAGCTAGCTGAAGGGTGTTCTCACTAAGGACAATATGGTACTGCTCTCACCTGCCGTTAGTGATCGCTCAGTGAGTAAGGTCCAAGCTTTTCTATGGATTTTACGTTTTGGTGTGCTGGTGCATGAAGGTAAGTAACTCATGCCAAAAGCCGGCATCGCCGACATTTCAATCTATTATCACTGTTGTATTCCTGATCAGATTCATATCCTTGTGTTAATGGTACAAAAGGAAGAAGAAATTAAGTGTGTGAAAATAGAAAACTCATTAAGTTAACATTAAAAATCTATTCCGAGTGATGATGTGAAATTTCGAATTCTCAAAGTAAATATGGCAGAAATGGGATATTGCACGATAGCACGTTATTGCAAAACTACCCTGTTTACATTGCCGTGATCTTAGTTGGGCTTGAAGGAAACGTGAACGTGGAAAGAATATCTGTTAGTAAAATTATTGCGGATTCACGGCGACATTTGTCCCCACATGATATGTCCACAATTTTTGAGTTGCTGATGTTCAATAATAAATAGAATAGAAAAAAGACACTAATGAAGACCTTGAAAGCTAAAGGAGTAATAGCATAGATTTGCTATCGTAAAGAATTTCTAAAGTTGACGTTCCAGAGCGAAGCGCTAAAGGTTATTGAGTTCTACCCCCACCGATGCAGCGTTACAGTTTCCTTAGAAACCTACCCCCTTATTTGAAAACCAGATCCTATTTAAAATCTCAATCAGTGAACATCAATCTTGTTCTTCAGTGTAATGGGTAAATAAAAAAATGATTGTCCGAAAAAGCAACTTCTCTGGTGGAATGAATATGATTACTGGATAATTCAAGTTTGCAGGCTATTTAGCTAAGTCACTCACCTAACGAAAAGAGAGGAAAGGCTTATCACCTGCCTTTCTTTCGAGGATGAAAGAGCATAGCAAATATTCGTTTTTTCTTTTTAGTCGAGCGGCAAATCAAGAGTTAATTATGTAGTTTCCCTGGCATTTATGGAACAACTTTAAACCAATATTGCTTCCTTTAATTTTACCCTTTAAGGTGGCTAATTTACGTTTTCAACTCAGTTATTTACACTAAATTACTTCCTTTAAGCTTGTGTGCTGTTTCATTTCATTTTCTCATTAGCTTCTTCATTGGCTTCTTCACTTCTTGCCAAACCCTTAGATGATTGCCGAGTGATTCAGTTCAAAGCAGGAACGAAAAACAAGATCTTAACAAATCACGTCATAAGAAGTGAACAAGCAAAGGACAAGGATATCTGCGAGTTTAAATGCTACTTTGAACCAAACTGTGTGTCCTATAACTATGGTCCGCTGGGGGATGGAACATTCACATGCGAGCTAAATAACAGAACTCATTTGCAAGTCTCTCCCAGTTACTTCGAATATAGGAACGGCTCTTTGTACACAGCAATCATTGTAAGGGAATAACAATATCAGTTTTACCAGGATGATCGTTCCGCAAGCGAGAAACCTCTGTTTCAAGTTGATCCTCCTCGTTTATTTATTTACCACTTTATTATTTATCCCTCTAAATACTCAGTCTATTTGTTTACTCATCTAAGCTTTACCTATCTAATTACTTGATTCATCTTTTGCATTTCAGAATTCCTGTGAGAGCAATCCGTGTGTTAGTAACTCTACTTGTCAAGCGGGGTTTAGTAGTCATGGTTACCGCTGTATTTGTTCTGACGGATATGAAGGAGAGCTTTGCCAAAGAGGTGAGAAAGGAAACTCCTCGTCATGGCAGGTCTTCATCTCCCAGGTTCATAGTTAAAGTTACACAATAAAGCTGCAAATAAAGTAGCCTCTCAGCAAGGAGAGTTTTGAATCCTCATCTGTTTAATCAATACAGCCTTAATATCTGCATTAAAGGATATCTCCGTCACAGGGTAAGGGGCAAGTTAGATTTGTTCTGTATGTGCTCCCTAAAATGCTAGAGGTTGTTAGAAGGATTGAAACCCCAAGGTTGAGACAACTGGAGACGTCGTCATAAGATGTTCTTCTGCAGCATTAACCGAGAGGTGATATGAAAGTATTGCTGTCGTGATGTGATAAATCCTAGATAATGGAGATTACAGAAAAACGAGAAAGAAAGAGAATATCAGAATAAGAATGGGTGATACGAAGGAAAATTGCCTTCATGTTGTCAACTATGGATATTTCATGCAAGGGCTAGAACAGAAATGAAACGAATAAAAGTATAAGTTTCGTGCTGAAAGCAAATAGTTCAGTGGAATTTTGGAATAACCGACAGAAATAATTGATTAATACGATCGAGATGAACTTTAGATGAAAAAGATCTATTTCAAAATAAGGAATATTATGTTTTTTTTCATCTTCCTTTAATCTTGAATAGATATTGACGAATGTGTCTAAGGCAAGGTGAAGTGTTCCTCTGATGGCAGTTGTCTTAATGTTATGGGCTCATACGTCTAACTTTTCCGTCTCTTGTAACTCGTGTGTAGATACTGATGAGTGTACATCAAGCAAACACGATTGTTCCTCTGACGGCTACTGTGTTAATGTCGTGGGTTCATATCAGTGCTCTTGCAAGCCTGGATTTACTGGCGATGGTAAAATTTGCCAAGGTAACATTTACTTTATATAAAAGTGCAAAGCTATCGATTACTCTCTTCATCAGTTTTGTAAGACAGAAATAACTGATGCAATTCGCAGGGTCAATTGTCCTTAAAATTACTGCTAAAAAATGGTAAGTCTTTACATGTTTATGTATCTGAGAAGACTGCCTCCACATCATAGTCAGCAAAATTGCTGCTTTAAGCATATTTAAAATATACAGAATGATGCCGAACTTCTGGCAAACCCGTGAAACCGCGACCTCAACACATTACACTTTTCAGTAGATTCTGGGAAACGCTAAAAAAACAACCCCACCTCTTCTGATAATTTCCCTACACCTTGATTAGTCTTATATTCAATTACTACTTAGATATCGATGAGTGTAACGATGGAAGCCATGACTGTCACTTTGCAGCCGATTGTACAAACACCGCTGGATCATTCGACTGCAGCTGTCAGTCTGGACACCTTGGAGATGGACGACACTTTTGCTCAGGTATATCTTGATTTCTAACTGAACACGAAATCTTATTTAAGTAACCTACGCTACACTTTTTCCACCCCTTTACACCATATCAACAGAAGAAAGCTGAAAGATTTGATTTATCAATCGCCAAAGTGTTGTTAACCATTTAAGTGTGGCTTGCAATTGTGCAATACAAGCAAACGCAGCTAACGCTCATATCTGTCTCAGATATATTCAATGAGGCGTCCTTCTTGTCGAGAAAATTGTAATTTTCGACACCATTCACGCGCAGCGATACTTATCAAAATATTATTCAGACTAATCTTGTCTGGACAATTGCAAAGTGAGATTTTTTTCTAATTTCCATCGACGAACTCTTTATTTTGATCAAAACTTTTCTTTGACCTGACTTGCTAACATCATTTTTAAAACCTACCAATTTTCTTGACAGATAACTGGAAAAAAATCAACACCGATCCTGTCTGCTTTGGGACAAAAAATGACGACTTTGGATCCTTTGAAATCCAAGAGGCCGGTAAAATCTACACATTCAAACTTGTGCATACAAGTGGCTCCGTGACATGTGATACTAACCTCGAATCCACAAAGTGGGGATGTTTACACATAGGTTTGGGACGTCATAGACTACTGACGGTGATAACTTACCGCAACAAGACTGTTCTTCCACTTGCTGAGTTCGCGACAGGCGTTCATGACTATAGGTACCAACTTGACCGTGCTCATGTCAACTCCCTGACGTTTGTGTTTAACCTGCTCCCCACCCTTCTGGTTGTGTCGATTGGACAGCAGTTCCTAATATGGTATGGGCAAGACTTGGCAAATTATTCCGAGCACAATAATGCTGGTGAGACATGCGCAGATGTTTACGCTTTGTACCCTTAACCTGAATTTTAGCATCGAACTTAACTTGAATCTATGTACATAAGTAAATATCTAAGCATATAAATGTGAATACATTGCGAACCAATACAGTAACCAGCTCCTAGTTGGCTTTGTAGTTCAGTTGGTCGAGCACTGCACCGGTATCGCACCGTCACAAGCCTGAATTTTTTTCAGGCCTTATTTTCATTACTGCTTAATTAGTGTTCATAATTGCGAAGATCGCTTCCATATTCATAGCCAGCTCACATATATGATATGCATATATTTACAGAAGTGTAAACAATGTCAATGTCGGCACGCGGCGTAAGGTAGCAAAGAAAGCGCACTTTTATGCCTTTCCTTGATGGTCGGTCGGTATAAAGAGAAGCTTGACATGGCGATAGGTATGGCAAGTATGGACAATATACTCGAGTCATATACAAATGCTCGCGGAGGTGGCGGTAGACCCTCACTAAGAAATAATGGTTAGCGTACATTTCGAAGACCTATTAAGGAGGTTAGATCCTAGGCAGAGTTAGTGTAATCTTTGTATTAGCAGCCCCATTATCTTTTTGCAGCCTGGCCGGGCGCTGTTATAAGGAGACGGTGATACTGTCAGAAGGCGTTAAGAATTTGTTGCTAGGATCACCTAGACAAAATTAACTAATGACATTATAGGAAATGAATAATGACTTCAAATTAATTCTGCGTGGCTAATAAATGTCCAAAGCCAATACAAACAGATATGACGAATAATTTACGTGGGATTTCTCGTAACTGGATTGGTCAGTTTTAAGTAGGTTACCCTGGCAATTTTCTAGCATGTTCGATGTAATAGAATAGTTTAATAACTTTCAGTTCAGCAGTAATGCATGTGTAAAATTTTGAGAAAGGAGATTTCGAAATATCCATGCAGTCTAAATGCTGCATAACCCAGTTGCATTTACTCTTATAATCATAGACTGATCTCACTTGTAATAGAAATTTAGAGTCCCTATTGAATAGATACTCCATTTTTTCAGACAACCAACATTAGTCTACAATGAAAAGATCAAAATCTTGCTCTAGTTAATTTACTTTGATGACTTAACATTTAACTTCACTTCTCAAGTGTTTTTGTTTACTTGGATCTTTTGTGACTGAAAATAGTTCTATGAGAAACTTTCTTCCCCGTGTAAAAATACACCCAAAAACAAAGAAATCCTAGCCTTCATTACTTTTTTTTTTTCTGTAACGCTTGACAACCTCATAAATATTAAATAAACAATCTTACGATTAAGAGTTTATTAGATCGCTAGAAGTGCCCGTGCTGGCGGAGCTCGTGCACTGAAGCGAATCCTGTGTCTCGATTATCTACCCGGGCATGCAAGATGGGCCCATCGATATCGTACTCGCTTTGATCCTGCGTAAGAAGGAAAATTACGCGGACCGGACTAACAAAGTTCGTAATTCTTGGACAAAAGTGTCGATGATGGAGTCGCAAAAAGCGGCCGAAGACAGTTAAAAAAAAAACAAACAAACATAAGCAACCTTCGTGGGTTTATTGTGCTACAAATACAGTTGGATTTCTTTCTCAGCTCTCGAAAAGAAAATTCACTCTTGATTCTTACTAAAGCGGAATCTTCTTTGCTTTATAATACATCCTTTATTGATCAAAGTTGTGCGGTCAAGATGGCTGGACATTAGCCTCGTCATTATCTGTCCGTTTTTAAGGACCTCGACTTCGTATCAGTCCATAAAAATGCCTAAAAAGAACTCGCCCAATAATCAGAAATCTTGACAGCACGCATGGTTAATAATTCATAGATATTGGTGTTACAGCACGATTATGACGATGTTTTCAAATAGCGTTACTCTGGGAATTGTAACAAAGATTGGAAGTAAAACGTGTATTATTATCAGCGAGTTTTCTAAAACAAGTGGGACTCATAGGGAAAAATGGAGTTCTTTCCTATCTTGTGCTTCATCTAAGGAAGCTGGAAATGGTTTTTCTATCCTCCGACTGGCTAACCGGCGACAATCATTGGGCTCGAAAACCATAGAGTTTATCCAAACTATCTCGTCGAGATAAAAACAGATAATTTATACAACAAACGCTTTGCAAGTGTCTTAGTGTAGCACGTGTAATTTGGTGTAATTAAGCCCCTCTCCCCAGTCTAAAAAGCACTCGATTGACAGGTAAAATGTACTACTGCTTAATGAAACAAAAGATTCTACAATCGTTTGAAATGGATTTCTCATTGGAATAGAATTGGTTAAATCGACTTATCTTAAATCGCTCGTAAAATTCTTGTTTATCAAGAGGTAACCATGTACGGCCATTCAGTATTAAAATCTGGTGTCTTTCAATAAAATCAATTTCCTCACTCCCCGAAAACGATAAGAATTCACTGAAAAAGTGCCTGAAATTGAG